TGTTTTCTAAAACTGGAATTTCTGGGAATCCCAAGTGAACTTCAGCGGACTGACTACCTGTATCTTCATTTTTGCCGCCTTTATCACGTGCTCGCCTCAAGAAATTCAGAATTTACTCTCACAATCAACCAGAGCAACAGTATGGCCCCGGTTTATAGCTAATGACTTGAAAGCTTTCTTCTAGAGAGGAATCAAAACAAAAGCATACACCTTTCTGTTTTCTATTCAGTGCAACACTGAATTCAGCTTTCTTAACTGCTTGCAACCCCCCCCCTCTTCTGTGTCATATGAGGCAGATTAAAAACTTATAAGAAGACGGATTCCATTATATATATCCGTATTTATATCAGTATTTTTAAAAATTTAAAAATATAAATGCAGTTCAGGGGGACATTCCTGGGCCATCCAAGCCTTCGGGGCCTTAGGTGACGGCATTCTTTGATACCATAATTTACTCACAATTTGTGAGTAAACAATGCAGTGAAACGGAAAATAAAGCATGCAAAACTCCAAAAACCGAATTTGGCAGAAATGGCTGGAGTTTTAGGGAACAAGGAGACAGTAAGAGACTGCAATGCAGCTTGTAAATATAACACGAGTTATGGAAGAAAAACATTTATTAAGTGAAAACAGATGAATAAAAAGAAGCAACTTCAGTTTTAATTGTATATAATGTACTAAATATATTACCGAAGTGCTTATAATTTTTGTTTTTGAAATAACAAAATTAGCGTTAGTAAATTATGTAATAATGTATACAGAAACCTTCTCTAAAAAATACAGTTCTGAAGCGGTAACCATTAGAGGGACCCCTTAATCACAACTTTATAGTGACTACGAAAGTTTCAAAACAAAATAACAAGACACAGCCCTAAAAAGCAAATGTTTTCTGGTTTCATTTATGTATAATATTTTATTTGCTTCATTCTATGCAAAGCTTTTAAAAATCAATACTGTTAAAGTATCAAGTTTTACGAATTCTTCTACCATATGGCAATACAGCATTACAGTTAGCCGCTTTTTTGACACTTTTTCTCTGATTCAGTTTTTGGTGATTTGAAGAAAATTTTAACTTTGAGAGCTAAGCAGCTTCCAAGTATCTAAGTCATTAGGTATAGGCTTGCAATTAGTCGCATTAGATCAGTAGTTAATTTCTGTGCTCAATGAATGAATGCAGTAACTAAAAACTTTAAGTTTTGTACTGTGCATATCAAAAGCATTAGTACAAATAAATTTCTTGTTATTGTTGCTTAAGTTTTTAATTACGTTACTGGTAATAATTTGCTTTGACATTTATATATCTTAAAAGATAAATTGTTAAAGTCAAGACTATCTGGCAAGTAGAGATTTTGGTTAAGATCTACAAAAAAAAAAAAAAAAAAAAAAAAAAAAAAAATCATAATTTAATTTGTAACTACCATTGCAAATTCTAATGCTTAGAACTTGTAATTTCATTTTAGCTATGAATCAGTTACATTTTACTATGGGCCCACCAGCGGCTGAGTGGTAGAGTCGCTGAATACTGGTAGTTCGGTCCGAATCCCGCGAACGGGCTGGCTGCATAGGCGTTTTCGTGGTTTTCCTTATGTGTAATGTGTATACGAGCCAGTTTCCCTTAGAAAGTCCTCCACGAAGGCATGCCTCCTCTTAGGCAGATAGCTCTCGAGGCTTTGCCATACTCACACACACATTTTACTACGTCTGAGCCCTTTGATTACACACTTTCTACTTGAGTTTTTCATAGCTAGATAAAACTTGATTCAACTAATTTGAGATATTCTCACAATCCCTTTAGTATATGTCGAAAGTAAAGAGCTAAACATTAATCATTGATAAAATATTGTTGCGAAAAGCCCAGCTGTGATAAGATAGCTTCCTTGCAAGACAGTTTAGGGTTACCAGAAAATAGAAAAGGAAGGCAGGATTGCCAGATTTGGTGCAAAATCACCTATTTGGCAACAACATTGGAGGTATGCCATAGAAGGATGGCTAACATTCTGCAAAGAATTCTTACTGGTTTGTTCCAGAAATTTCTCAAAGGCAGGCAAAAGCTATATAAACACTGCCTTGTATGTGAAGTAGCAGAGTCTCATCAGTGCAACGTTGAGGCTATTGATTCTTTCATTGAGCGCACTGCCAGTTGTAATGCCTCCTCATTACAAGAGTACGCATAGTTCCGAAAATGACGGAACCGAGTTGGGGAGCTATGCCGTGAAGCTGTTTTCACCATTATAGCCTGAAGGCTGTATTGCTGATTGTTTCAGAATGCTTGTCGTAGTTTTTCGATGACTGTGTTTTTGGAGCTGTCTTGAGTAATACTGGCTAATAGATTGTTTTTTTCATTCTTCATCAAGTGTTGTTGTTAATCACTCCAAGTCCACAAACCCAACAACATTGTTGCGCTCTATGGGTTTGTGGATTTGGTGTAACTGATGATAACACTTGATGAAGAATCAAAATAAAATTTATTTGCCACCATTACATAGGACAGTTCCAAAGGCATCTTTACAGTTGTTGAAAATCTACGACAAACACGCTGAAACGATCAGCCACACGGTCTTCAGGTTATAACGTAATAAATTAGACCAATGCTTTCCAATTGTTTCATAAATGTGTATATGTTATGTGTGCTGCTCATTAAAATATATAAAATTTTTGATTTATCTCGAGTTTCTCATTCCTTTCAGGAAATTTGGCATGTATGTGTTAAGGCCGATATCATGCGCGAATAAAAATTTTTGCACTTTTCCCAGTCATTATTATATCTTTCAGGAAAACTACCCTTGGCAAATACAAAATATTTACAGAGGAAAAAAAAAAAAAAGGAATTTATTCCAAAAATAAATTAACGAAACTCTTAGTACCAACTCTCTATTTTCCTATTTGTTTTCACCAATTTTCTATTTCTTTTGTATAAAGCAGGATTGATAATCCAAATGTTTGAAAACAATTACAATAGAGGGGAAATAAAAAAAGGGCGGGACAAAAATGAAAGGACAAAAATGAAAGAATCAAAATGAGGGAATGCATTTCTCTCAAACATACATCTTTTTCAGCACAATCCCATTTTCTGCTATTTTTTCCAAATAATCCGCTTTTCCCATTATGCTCATGAAGTTTATGGTTTGCTTCTCAGCTGTTTGTACACAGAAACTTCCAACTCCAGTATTAGATGAGAAATACTGACTTTGAAACAAACAAAATAAAGGAAGGTGAGGGAAAATACGAATTTCAAGCTCATTATCATGGACACTGTTCTGCACAATACTTTATTATAATGAAAAAAAAAAAAAAAAAAACCTTACAGATCTAATTCTGTAGATGCATTACTTGAGTGCTCATAAGGTTACTAATGACCTTTCAGAATTAATCATCTAGCTTGCCAGTCATTGATTTGCAGGTAACTCAAAGGTAATATTCATGTTTCTGCTGTTACTCAAAGAGGTTAAACACTTAAATGAAACTAAGTTCATTTGCACACGACAGTTGCCAAAAGCAGATGCCAGCAAATTTCTATATCAACTGTTTGTCATGTGATAAGAGATCTTACTCTTCTATTAATTAAGGTATTTGTCTTCTAAATGGGTCATTTCTGATTAAAGAGTAAACAATTTATAAATTTCAAGACATTTTATGGATCTTTTACATTTACTGAAGAATCTGAATTGTTCCTCATAATTTTTCATATACAGAATTCCTTTTTTAAAATATAATTTATTTGCAAACTGCATTATTTAATTTTGATAATAATATTTTCAGCTAATGTCTGATGCAATCTCTGTGAATTGCATAGTTCCTCATACATCAGCATAACATGGTATTAGGATCCCAAGAACTTTATTTTGCCAGATCTAGAGATCGGGAAGAACTCTTAAAGTAAAAGCCATATCCAAGAAATGGCATTACCAGTTTTTTTCAGTCTCAACAAAAAACTCGAGACAGACTCCTGACAGTTCATCTCTGTCAACCATCAGTGAAGGATAGAGCTGATCTCACTCCACTCATGCAATACCGATGACTTTATTGCAAACTAGCATGTATGTTACCGACTGCAATTACTCTGTGTTGAGAGACTCGCATATGATATTTTTGTTATCTGTATAAGTGCTAAACTCTTATTTTCTAGTTACAGTAGTAGACATAAAAACAAGTATCTCATCTTTGTCCTTACATTAACACACATCTCTACAGAACAATGACCATACCACCTTTTTACTATGGTAAAATACTTTACAATTGCATTCCACGCTATGGCTAGGAATTTTATTTTTCTAAAACCTAGAAGTGAATTTCTCCAGAAGAATTTAAGGAATATTTTAGAACCAAAAAAGGAAAAATTTAATATTAATTTATTAATGAATCAGTTTAAGATAGTGCACATATCACATTTGAAGTAGTACTTCTAGTTTTCATTATCAAATTTTATGAGCAAGTTTGGAATATATGAACCAAACCACTGAAATGCAAAGGAACTTTTTTGACCAAAGACTTAAGTTCTATTAAAACTTTTTTTTATACTCCCTATAACTTTAAATAATAATTAATTTTGATTTATTTGCATTTTTGCAAATCATGCACCAATTTTTCAAAATAGCATTATGCATCAGTTTACTAAAATGTTATTTTATCTGAAAATACAATCTGGGAGTGACTAAGCAGTTTGTGCCATTCCTGAAGATAAGACAAATAATGTATATATACAAGATTAATAACCTAGCTCCAAGATAACTTTAAATTTCATTTATATATATGTACATGCATATGAAAGTTTGTTTTTATTTTGTATTATGTATTGCATTTTAGACTTACTTTTAGATACAAAGGAAAGTCTTTTTCTTCAGGTATGTTGTACGTGTTTGAATTAAAGAAATTATGATAGTGTCTAAAATACTTTAATTACTAATATTTAGATCCTTTTAATTGCACAAAGTAAAATCTGATAGAACATTCAAACTCAGAAGTGATGAAATTAAGATAATTAAAAATAAACAACAAAACAATTTTTTTAGAAATCAAATTTGGATTAAATTGTAACTTTTATATTTTTGAATTCAGTTTTCAACTGTATTTTGAAAGCAAATTCATCATACACAAAATAGTTCAGGGACAATTCTTTGATGATGCAAATCACAATCCACCTTTCCTGAATTACATATCCTTAGTCATGAATCAAAATACACAAAAATATTTATGCAATTTTATTTTATATGTTTTACAAACTCTACAAATATTATTAGAACCATTCTTTGTCAAATTAAAGCATAATACTATACACACAAATATATATATGTATGCATATATATGTACATCTAACATTCTCAGATAAAAATCTTAATAAAACAAATCTTGGAGAGCTTGAACAGTAAAATACACATTTCATATTTTTAAATGCATAAAATTCAGAATTTTATAATATGTAAGAAAAACTACTTGCATGAACTACTATACATTTTTTAAAATACTGAGTATATAAATTTAAGCAGTTTTATATACAGCAGATCAGAAATCTTTAATAAGAAGAGATGTAAAAACAAACACAAGAAGCTTTTGCATGTTTATTACATTCCACTTGAATTTCATATTTAAAAATACAATACTTAACCAATTTCAACATAAATGCTTCTGAAATATAATATAAATTTAAATAAACAAAACAGCAATAAAACAAATTATACAACAAGAGAATTTTATTTTCCCAAAACAAAGAATTTTACTTATCATTAGGAAATTAATCTTTCAGTTTTCTGTTAATTTAAAATACATAAAAAGCAAGCAATCTCGTATATAAAATAAATCTAAATATTAAACACCCACAAATTAATCTCACACAAACTTCTATTAGTAATTACGTTAGATTAAATGGTCCCCATTTAACATGATTAGTCCATGTGCAATAAATAAGAAAACATTTTAGTGATACATTAGATCTGATATTACAAAACATTTTGTGCAATTCACAATTTTTAAATAAAGCAGATAAATGCTGCAGTTTGAGAAAAGAAACACTTAAATTTCCTTTTTACTCAAATAAGTAAAATATAGAACTTCTTGAAAATGGTTATAAGCTTTATTGCACTGAACCATCAGGTGGTGGTTGGCTAGGATCCTAAAAGAGAAGTATATAAAATTAAACAAGCAATGTAAAATTTTATGAAAGTTTTAAAAGATAACATCCATATATTAACTACATGCTATGCAGATTTCTATTTAAGAGATTATATAATCATGAATTAAATACAAGCATAATAATATTTAATTCAATAACTTCTATGCATTAAATAAACTTTTTCTGTATGCTCTTAGCAATTTCCTTTATGTGGAATTAGCCTAATAATATTTAGTTCAATAACTTCTATGCATTCGTATGTTTTTAGTAATTTCCTTTATGTGGAAATTTTTTTTAAAGTTATTAAACAGTTCCACAGACAAAAAATAAGCATTTAAAAATATATCTTAATTATTTTGGGAAGCTACATACCGAAATGCAAATTTCCAGTATTAAAACAGATTTTTTTCCCTTTCTTAGTAAAACATGATTAAATGCATCAGCAACTGGATACGTTACATAGGTGTCAAATAGTTCCAGCTCTTGAAATTAAAATTTTATAAAAAGTTATTGTAAAATGTTTCACTACATTCGATACTTTTTGCTAGGTATAAGCAGAACAATTATGCTTTATTGTTCTAAAAACTATATTTCACTGTTTTAAAAGAATCACAAAATATTATATTGGTTATTTCAAGTACACAAAATATTATATTGGTTAATTCAGGTAATTTTATTCTTATTTAACATATTACATACTCTGACTTATTTCTCAATAATTTAAACATAAATGAGCACATAGCCCTGTCAAATTACACAAATTCGTGTGGAGGGGGAAATCGGAGCTTTGGAAATGGTCTTAAACACTTCCTTTAGACTTAGGTTAAAGTGTGTAAAAAGTCCCAGAGGGTGGGAGGGATGAGCTCGAGTGGTTTAAAGGTCCCCTTTTTCAGTTTTGCACTTATATATTGGAAACTATCATTCCTACAGAAAAATACTTAATCAGCAGGACCCAGCAGATCCACATCCTCGTCAATAACATCAGTAGAACAACCAAATTCCTCCTTTTCCAAAGCCCAATTCACTACAGCATCAGCCTGTTTCACCCAAGTTCTCTCGCCAATCAGTTCCCAAGTCAGCATAGTAATGAACATGGCCTTATTTATCTCATTATTTAAAAAGGTGGTGTTAAGCCATCACTGCCATCTCTTCAGTAGTTAATATCAACTGATGCAGCGATGGCTTGATGTATTTGTTCTGCAAATTTTGTGCTGTTGACAGTATAAGAATAACCATCAAAAACGACAGTGCTGCATTCACAATAGTGTTTATGTAAATTACATACTGATTGAATATCACCAAGAAAATCTTGATCCTATACCCCACCTGAATGTAGATTTCTTAGTCTTTCACATCTCTTTTTCATTAAATACAGATAATGGATAAGGTGCCAGTTCATAACGGAGAAGGTCTTCTAGATCTTCGTTATTCTTCTCGGAAACAGCTACTTGTTGGAATATCAGAAAAATATCAACCACCTCCAAAATGTTGTTAATTTTGATAGTACTGCTCATAGACAGCAGTGACTGTCTTTTAGAGTCTGTTTTATTTCTCTAAATTTTTGCCCTATCATCTTCTTCATTGTAATCTTGTCTTCTTGTAGGGCTTCGTGGCAGTTTACATCACGGTTAGCAACGACACATGTTGCGAGGGAAGCAATGCTCATGATTCTGGAAAGGGAGGGTACCGAGAACAAAAAATGAATATCTTTCTGTTATCATTATGTCCTCTCTGTCGAGAGACGCGATAGTCTACATTTTGTTCCTCTGTAGAGATGTGCAGGCCAACACCTTCAAAGCAGAGCAAATTGATGTTGATGCAGTTCCTTTGCTAATCAGTCAATACAGACTCTTATTACATATTAAAGTGAGCTCTATTGTCATATCATACCAGTTTTTAGATACGGGTGAATCTGATCTACTCATCAGTATTTGGTGAAATTTTCAAAGTTCTTGGGATGGGTATTGGAAAGAGAATGCATGTCCTGAAGGTATAAATGAGTGCATATTGCAGGTGGCCATATGCACGAAAGTATGGTAATATTTGCTGCATTGAGTCACCAGCCTTGAACTACAAAAGAGTGAGGTTGAGGCCCCCCCCTTCGCTGTCGCAACACCACACTATTCATCTCCTCTGTAAAACTTCAAATTTGATTTCTACACACACTATTTCCATATAAATGCTTACCGTATACATATTAAATTAGTTTGAAGGGATTTTGAACACTAGAATAGTTTCCAAGATTCAAGTGAAAAACTGAAAAAGGAAACTTTAAACTCCTCCCCCTTCTCAAGCTCACCCCCACCCTTGGAAATTTTTATAAACAACCCAAGTCTAAAGAAAGTCTCCAAGACCATTTCCAAAACTCTAGGATTTTTTACCACCGATTTCCTTTTTTTGACTAATTTGGCTGGGCTAATAAGGATTCTGAGAAAATATGCCTGGGAAATGACATGTGGGTATTATTGTGATTATTATACCTAATGACATATTTATAGTATATTGTATTGTGTTTATTTTTACATTCATGCTTCACAAGTTTGGTGAAATTATAGCCAAGATCTTAGCATAAATCTAAAAGCACCTAATACAATAGGGGCCCCTCTAGCAAAGAAGTACCAAAAAAAGTATAAATACTAACCTCATGATGAGATGGTTTGCTGTCACCTCTTAGGGACAAAGAAGTTGGTCTCGTGAAAAATAATATTAAAGCTAGTATTACCCATCCCATAGCAAACATCATCACAGTCCCATCAGTTCCATTATTTTGAGATACTGCAGGTCCAGGTACTAAAAATATTTAAGCATATATATTAATAAAGACAGATTAAAAATAACAGGAAAGGAACAAACAAATCTTTTAACTGTATTACAATAATTGTTTGAAAATTTCATCAAAGCTAGACTTTATCCTACCAAATAAGAAAAGTCAACAACAATAGACAGTAAAGAGCAGAAAATCAGCTTGAACTTTTCGTCAACAACTGAACATTAAACATTTAAAAAAGCTCCGAACTGATATTCATAAGAAAATCAACTTGAAGTTTCAAAAAGTTAGATTTCAAATAGCCATTGGTTTTAAACTGGAGAAAAAGCACTACATTCTGAGAAAATATAATATAAAAATTTAGAAAACACACCCAAATAAGATTCTTTCAAATAATTTTTCTTTCTTTTAAATAAAAGGTTGAATTTCACCCCATTTTGAAGTTGCAGTCAGTCATATATATTTTACAAACATAGAATTCATATTTTATTAGAAATTTATTCTGTATGATACAGACTTACAAGTAGTGAAACATTCTTCAGGAGTACAATATCCTTGGGAATTTTGAAGCTGAAAAATAAATGAATATATAAGAAAGTGACCATAATAAGTTTCCAGCTTTGGAAAAGGTATGCTACATTTCTTACTAGAGATATGAGTCTTCGCATTGCCCGTTCATATGAGAAAACATACTCGCAAGCATCATAACCACCTTCTTCCATATTTATTTCTAAAAAGAAAGAGACAGCAATTTAAAGTTTTTATTTTATGAAAAACATCTTTATTTATCAAAAGCATGGTTGAATTCAAAATAAAAGTGTATATTAATTTCAGAAAATTAATCAGTCATTTTAAATAATCATACAGTCTACAACAGTCTAAAACAAAAACACCACATATGGTTACAAGATGCTTCCCACATAACCTTATTTAATAAATCTACAGTCAAAAGTCTTTAATCAATTTTTCCAGATTATAGATCATCAGTTTAAATCTGGTAAGATGGCATGCAGAAATTATACAATTAAAAATATGAAACAGTAATTTATGAAATAAAGAGCAATTATGATCTAAAGGGTATCAAAATTTACACACACACACAAAAAAAAAAAAAAGCTTAATATTGTTTACTTTATTAACCATTTCTTTCAATGTAAATTGCTTTGTTTTTTGTGCTAATACTTTCTCTTTAATTCCATAAACAGACATAATTTCTTGTTCAGTTACAAAGTTCCACTGTTCAAGTCGTGTAATTGCTGTGTCGAGAATACCGACTAACTTGTAAATCGAAATTTTATCCTTTTCATTTCGTGTCTGTCACTTTCTTCACTTTCGAAAAGCCTGCATGATTCAACGCTTTACGCACATGCATAGTGGACGCACGCATTAAACGCGCATACGTAAGTTTGTGGCTTTGAGGTCCGGATTATAGATCATTCCAGATAATGGATGTCCAGATTTCAAACTTTGTACTGTACTTGTATTTATGAAACATAAAACTCTAATAAAGACGGGACATTAGGCGACTAAAAATTTTATCATTCCTCATCTTTGCTTTGGAACAAATTCATATTTTTGTTGTTCTTCCAACTTTCTATCACCAGCATATTATACAGAAAACATCTTGTGAAGAAAATAATAGCATCTATGCCCCAAACAACACAGATTACTGAAAAATTATCAGATAGCTTAACTTAAACAGAATACTTTAATAGTATCTTAGCAATCAAATTATTTTCATAAAATATTTCAAGAAATGTATTTATAGGGATACTTCTCAGCTGATGAAAGAAGAAATCAGTACAATTGCCAAATTCTTCAAGTAACTAAATCCATCATACTAAAAATAATTTGAGCATCCTAATGTTTGCATTTAGCCCAAAGGGTGTTATCCCAGAAGGGATATTAATTTCATTTTGGCATTTTGCATCGAAACTTTAGAAGTCTGAATCACTTTTAAAATTGTTGCCACCAAACATTATCAGCCTGTATTATATTTAAAGAAATTAAATATTGAAGAATCCGCATAAATGTATGTATGTGTTTTTGCACTGTGATAAAACAATGGCACCTAGAGCCATCAAATTTTGAATAATGAAAGTCTCTGCCCAAATTTGGAGTTTGTTTTATTATCTATTTCATATTCATTGAGCACTTATGAGGTATTAGGAAACTGAATGATTTCAAAGCAAGCAATGGCAACACTATACGGGACAATTTTTTTTTTTTTTTTTTATTCAGCGCACGAGACTGTGTATCAGAAATTCTAAAGATATGCTCTTTCAAAATTATTTTGCAATATTGCTGTTGAATTGAATTTTATGGTTTAAGTGCAATGAACATATTTAAAAATACCTGGTTTCCAGAGCTACAAATTATACTGACTTTTATTCCTACTCAATCTTGCCAGTTACTATACTCAAGTTGAAACTTAAGGCTAGATATATTTTCAAGTCAAAACAAAGCCTTCATCATAAAAGGCAAAAAATTACTTATCAGTTATTACTTGTTACTATTGTGTTTTGTTAAAAAAGGCTTTAAAATAAATCTACTTTATTTACCCGATCTTTTTCCAGCCCTTTTGGGGGAAACAGGTTAAGAAAAAGATGCCTGAGCTTAAAATCAATATCACCAACTCTCCAAGTGGCCAAATCATACTCAATAATATCTGTTATGATACCTTTAAGAACACAGACATGCATCTTGAAATATGCTCGAACTATTAAGATAGCACACCACAAAATCTAAGATGATCTAGTATCTGTACCACAGACAAAAAATAAGTAAATAAAATCAAATATTTAAAAAAAAAAAAAAAAAAAAAAAAAAAAAAAAAAAAAAAAAAAACCTTGGCCTAGCCTATAGCTATCCGGAAATAGAAGGTTTTGAGGAAAGGAAACTTGCTAATTCCAACCACACGCTATAGTATGCAAATACCAAAATTAATTTCGATCAGGTGGAACATTGTACAAAAAAGGAAACTGAAGCTGTTATCAAGGCAAAAGATACTCCAACTGAGTCCTCTTTGGGAGCTGATTTGGTTCATCAGATAAGACAGGTACAGTACTCACATCACAACACAGTATCACAACAGGGTGGAGCCAGTACTCGCATCACTCTACCAAATGGACAAGCTATAATCTAAAGCCATGGAGCAAGCAACACTGCCTCTAATTTCACATATGAATCAAGAGCAATCCAGGAGGCCCTGAAACTTCACATTGACTTGAATGATAATGATAAAACTAGCGGACTTGTAATTTACAGCGACTCTAGGGCTGCCCTCAAGGCAATACTACAAGGACATTCAAAACTCACTCAGGATAGAAACAATCAACCAGATGAGAAAGACATGCATTATGCAATGCATACTGTCTGCCTACAAGAACAGATCCTGCCACAGTGCCTGGCAGTTGGCGGTCGCTATAGCAACAGGGTTAGTATATTTCAAATAGGGACGAAACCAAGGGTTACTTCATTGTTTTATTTTTGGAGACTTAAATGAGGAGGGAAAAAGAATATCATTCATCTTCAAAACACTCCTATGGAAAATAGGTCAAGGCTCATTTCTACAGCAACAGACAGCTGCAGACTAACTGGCGAGAGCTTTTCTTACGATAGACTGTACCTGTATATTTGGAATCAATAGAAATGAGGCAGCCTATGAACTGACTAAAAAGAGAAAAAATTTCAACAGCTCAATCCTCCCATCATTCTCTAATGCCATTGCCAGATATAGACTCGAAGAGAAATCTATTAAGAAAGACCACTAAATATGCGAGATTGATGCAAACAGATTACAAAGACCATTACCAGATTGGAAAACCCATTATACAGGAATGAAAATTAATGAAGATGGTACTATATCATATGGAACTTTTAGAAACTGCCCCAAAATAGAGCTTTCTCTGGAACACATCTTCACTTGTCCAGCAATATTTGCAGCTCTGCGAAGCGTGGTAATTTCCTTTCTAGGAAGAGCTGTGTAATGAAAAGACTATGGAAATGGCTACAGCAGTGACTTCCACACATGGATCCATTTGACTTCTCAAAGGACAACACCAAACAACAAATATTATTTGTCACAGGGGATAACATTCTTCCATCTGACCTAAATGATAAGTAAAGTCCCAATGTTTCTATATCTACATGTCAGCTTAATATACTTAAACTGATGATCAAAAATCCAGAAATTTCTGAAATCCAGATTTGGTACTGTATATATACTGGAAGAAAAAGGAATTAAGCTGTAAGGTGAGATGATAATTTTGAAATTATTATAAAAGACTAGCCCTTACTCATGGCTTTTTTGGTAACTTTAGGATTATGAGATACAACCATGGACACTTGAAGGGTTAGTACAGTCAATAAGACTATTGACACGTTTTTAATTTTTAGGTAGCAGTTTAAGGATGAAGCTCTTTACTGATGAAACTGATGCCATTACACATTTGATACTTTATTTCTAATAGCTAACTTCACCATCATCCACTTCCTATATGATAAGCTATATTAAATTTTTATTAATACTCAGCATTACACTTATAAACTTTACACCTTTTCACACAAATCTTTATTCAATTGTGCAGTCCGAACCAATTTCATTCAACTATTTTCGCAACCAAAGAAAAATGATGAAAAGAAATTGAAGAACATAATTTCTCAAAAAGAAAAACTGAATTACTTTTATTTTATAAGTACAGTAAAATCAACATTAGTTCATCAGAATGCTTTTTAAGATCAGAGCAACAGTTCACATAATGAAAATTCATAAAAATAGGTATCCACTGCAAACAGAAATCTGAAAAGCATTTCTATACTTCAGTGGATATAAGTAAACAAATCTCAATCTGCTCAAAAATTAAAAGGCAGAAACCAATGACAAGTACTTTCACAAGGGAAAAAAAAAAAAAAAAGATTACAGTACAAAATCTATTAAAATGCATAGAAATCCCAGAAAAAGCAACGGTGATGGCATTTCTATGCTAATAAAGGTATTCGATTACAGTCCAAATTATAAATTTAGAAATATTTTCATCCCTCATATCTGAAAATATTTGTTAAACTTCTGAATACATTTTATTTATTAAAGAACTTAATAATACAAATTATCTCAATTCCTTAAATTTTTTTTTTTTTTTAAATTTAAAGGCAAGTTTTATGATAGTAATATAAAAGCATATAATTTAAAAAAAAAGTAGTGTTCAGAAACATACTAAAAATACTACAATTCCATTTTTATTACGGTAATGAATTCTAAACTTTTTTTGTGAGGAAATTTCATCTCTTGGAATATACATATACAGAATTTATGTAATACAAAGGCACATAATACATATCACAGTAAAAATACAAAACGAGGCATTATAAAATTTCTATTATAAAAGTTCGTGAAAATTAATATTCAGTATTACATGTAATTAAGCATAATAGTGAATAACTATAAAGCGATATTAAGTATTAATTTTTATATATAAATATCAATTCAGGGCTTGAATGATTATGGTAACTATCAAAAGAATCTTTCATATTCCTTACATCATAGAGCAACAAAAAAAAAAAAAAAAAAAAAAAAAAAAAAAAACAGTAAATATACTACTTTTCTGAAAATAACAATTATCTTCCTGAAAGAGCCAAAAACTTATCTTAAGAGTTAAATGAAAAGTATAAACAGAAGTAACAAAAACAAAATTTTTGATACTCATTTAAATTCACATAATTAAATTGTTTAAATAAATGTTAATTATAATAAATAATAATTTATAAATAAAATAAACATTTACATTGTTTTTCACACAAACACTCAAAGAGTTTATCTTTCTGATAAAAACATTTAAGCAGGTGTATTACCAAAAATTATCTCAGTTGTTCAGAAGATTTTTCTTATCATATATAAGCATTCACAATATTTATTTACTACTAAAGTTTACAATCTCTATGACATATGAAAACAATACATTAACAAAAGTACACAATGTGAATGTATAATTCCTTTTATAACCCTTTTTATAAGATCACTAAAGCAGAGATTCTCTACTGCAGGTTCTCAGAATCTTGAAATTCCACAAAATTAGCTCAAAAATTACATATTTTAAGTTTCTAAAAAAATTAAATCCCACGAGCCAATAATTTAACAAACATTTATATTTATTCGAAAAAGTACAAAAGCAGTCAATTAAAAAGTCTTCATTTCTGTAATAAATAGCATACTGAAATAGCTGGATCAAATCAGGGTTTTAGACATTATATTTTAAAAGTTAGAAAATAAGGTAGGGTAACGGAACAGAAGTTAATATTATGATGGTCGTAATACGAGAGCATACGGAATTTGAAATGATGCAATAAAGGTGTTTTATTATCATCAATATTATAAACTGGCCTTGAAAAGGTCAAATACCGTTGTTTTCGTTTAATACTACAACCAGTTATATACCGTTAGTTGCACCAGTATCACTGGCAGATAATTCCTCCATGGGGGGGGGGATATAACTGCGCATCCTTTTCACGTTTATTAAATTATGGTCCGAAAACAATTATTGAAAATAATTTTATTTCAGCAGTGTTACTGAGATATGTGAACAGTACAGACATCTGTATGTCTCGAGATGCATATGCTACGAATATTTTCGCCCCCAATTTCCCTTAGTGGTTTTTCGTTCTAGTTTCATTATGCAACTATTCTTTGTAAAACGAAGCTCTCTAGAAATAAAGGAAAAACATCATACACCTTTTATTACATTTTTAAACCCTAAATAAAAATATTATGAATATATTTCACTTAAAATAACGTTTTGCAACTCAATGACAGAAAAGCGCACAAATTTTCGACGTAAACAAAACCATTAAAAAATTCACATTTAACTATTCCATATGTTTCAGAATTCAGCGCATCTGAATTTCTGTACATTTACCACATAATTAACAAAAACGTACCGTAAAAGAAATTCATCTAGGTCTAACTATTAGAATTATAATACAAGTAGAACGATTAAATATCTTACTTAATTTGCTACACGATATAGGAAACTTGACCACACAGTCGAAACAAACTGAATTACAGGGCCACAGAAAGAAATTGCTGCTCACGAAACCGAAAACTTTATATAAACACTATACACAATCGTTCATGCATTTATCTAATGACACGTATAACTAGAAAACAGTACGTCTAGCTGAGTTAAAGCAACGAATCAAAACATAACATTTCATTTGATAGAACTGGCAAACAAATACCTCTTCTTCTGGCAAACTGAAATAATTTTTTTTATTTATTTATTTACAAATGTCAGTTATTAAATACTAGAAAAAGGATATTACTTTTCTTTCACGTACACATTTTTTATAATGTAAAATCTACTTGTTTTGAAAAGAGTTATTAGAAATGTTTTTAGTTATGAAAATGTATTTTATTCAAATGTTTCTGAAATTGAACTACCATAAGGGATAAGGTTCGGAGAACAGCCTTAACGCCAAAACGGGGAGAAATAGCTTATTATGGTAGACCACGTTATGGTTGTTATCCGATGACGTACTTCTAGGAGGACAGCGTGATACTTTTTCTCCCTGCTAAGGGATTATCCGTAGCAGCAGCAATATTTTGACTCTAATATTTTTGTTTATATGTTTTTCTAACTGCAGGTTCTGAGTAATATTGCACGAGCTTCAAGCAGATGTAATCGTTTTCTTTACTCTATAGGTTTGTTTTATTCATTATCTATTCATATTATTATTATCTATGTTTTGTAACAGTTTATGTTTCAGAGAATGGCAACATACTATGATGTTAATTAAGACACAATAATACGCCGAATAAATACTAATTCAGAAGTCAAATAACAAAAATCAGCGTTATATTTACAAAATTTTCACAGGACTACTTCACCGAAACTAGTAATGTGAAAATTTTCTAAATATAACGCTGATTTTTGTTGTTTGACTTCTGAATTAATACTATGATATTGTTCTTCTTTTTAGAGAGTTAGTGTAACTTTGGTTTCCTCATTTTGAGAGTATGAGTAAAGGAATTAATTAATTATTGTAGAGTCATAAATAACTAAAGAGATATAGATAGTATTTCCGAGTAATAAATAGTTCTTGAGGTAACAAATTTAATGAGAATTTTTGAACAACTCGGACACTTTGAACAGATATAATTTATATTTCGTAAAAACATGAAAACAACTTATTCAATATTTCCTTGGATATCCTTTAGCTAAAATTACACTTGCGTTCAATGCGTTCATGCGTTCTGGCATGGCTTTAACTAATTTCTTTTGTTTACTAGTTCATTATTACGAAGTAGTTGCTTTTAGCAGAAATTTCTTTCTTATTCTTTTCTCTAACTCACTGCATATATGCTACATAGGATTGAAGTCCAAAGAATATGGAGGAATTTGGGCAGTTTCAGGACAATTCTCTAAAAACCGCTACCGAACATTAATAAAGACTGTATGCTTAGGATCGTTATACTGATAGAACTTGAATGTATCTTTCAATCCAAGTTTCTTGAAGATGCTTTCAGGTTTTGATTAAGAATATTTACATTGATCCCTACTATTTCTGTAAAATCTAAATTTCTTATCCCAGGAGCAACGAAACATCTCCTAACCATTAAGCCTCCATCCTCGTACGTGAGTCGCAGACGGAAGAAACGACAGCAGGTCTTTTGTTCAACTGAGGGGATGTACTTAAGTGTTTTATTGCTTACTCACTTTCTCGCCAAACGAACACAGAGGAAGGGATGCATCGTTGCCATAGTAACAAGGTTGTAGGTAGTCAAGGTTCTTTAATATACTAAATTTAGGTAGTCTTACAGATTTGACTCTTTATCGCTCAACTTTCGTAGCGCCATCTGTTATTAAAAATCGACATGAGAAAGGGGTATTAATCACTCTTAACTGAGTAAGATACAAGTTTTTTGGATTCAGTTCTTCAATCGGCTTTTGCCATATAGCTCTTGGTAGCTCGGACCCGAATATATTAAATTCCGACTCGTCTGTGAACATGATATTGTTTCAATTTTGTTACGGATTTGGTATTTAATTAGTTAACTTTAGTAGAATTATAAATAAAATTGTTTTATTCCCCGTGCAGTGCCGCGCCTGACGAATATTAAAAGAAAACAGACGGAAAATTAAGAATACAAGAGCGCGTGCATTTAACATTTAATAAATAAATATCTCTTTTTGATTTCGAAAAAATACCAGAAAGTTCTCGCGCATTTAAAAAGCTTATATAAGCGGCATGAAAACCTCTCAATTCGTCGTTATTTAATTAGTTTGTTGTTGTTTTAAGAGTTTGTTTAGAAAACTGTTCTTGTTGACTGTAGCGAATTCACGGATTAGCTTTCTGTAGCTGTTTTGAATTAAGTTCTGTTGAACGTTTGGTTTGGTTTGGTTTATTGAGATTACGACTAAGAACACTAGGGCTATCTGCCTAAGGGGAAGGATGCCTTTGTGGAGGACTTTTAAGGGAAACTGTATCGTATACACGTTACACACGGGGAAAACCACGAAAACGCCCCTGCAGCCAGTTCGCGGGATTCGAATTTCGAACCGAACTACCAGTGACCGACTTTACCGCTCGGCCGCTGGTGGGCGTTGAACGTTTGAGTAGTTAAAAGAAAACTACTGTGAGATATAGTAATACTGTACGAATATCTGAGAAAATAAATTGAAGTATTGTGTTTTATTTATTTGTGATATTAATAAATCTTATTAATTTTTCATCAGACTTGTGCATTCATTTCGTAACGAACTCGTGCGTACGCTACAACATGATAAATCATTGCTTACCATGAATTTTTGAAACGCTTGACGTATTTTCCTTGTTTTCTACTTAATAAATAATTTCCATCTTTCTAATCGTCCACTGTAGCTATGTCTTATAATGAAGACTTCAAACAGCTTTGCAGTTTAAATTGTCATGGAAATTATTCTTTTAATTCCGCTTTAGGTTTTACAGTATTAATGTCTAAATTTTGTTTCATTTTTCGGAGGATAAATCTCCGATTCCTTCCTCTCATCTTGGAATGTAGTCCTGACTCCAGTGTATTCTGAGCAATCACACGCAGTTTCCATTATTTTAATACATAAAAAATAGTTGAATACTTTAAATCAACGATTGTTTAGATATTTTAAGTACTATAATCATGTTTTCAGTAGTGAAAAGTTAAATTTCTATTAGAACTTGTTGTTAATTTGTAGTATATTTCCATGTTCCCTCTAGACATGGAATTATCAATATACTTTTTTGAACAAGTAACAGTTTCCAGTTTCCAAACGCAGACTACAAGTCTTGTTAGTTTTATTTAAAAAAATTATGTCAAGAAACGGCGCCTGCCAAAACCTCTTAACAATACTTTCGAGCATCCAATTATTATGTTAGTTACAAATCAAAACATTTGAAATAAGTTATTTTAATACAAAGAATACTTTGATGCTGTTTATTTTGTAAGAAAAAGGATTAAAACAGAGAAAAAATAATATATATTAGGAAAGAGTTTGGCCGATGCTATTCGCACCACCGGTGCGATTAGCCGCTTAAGCTATTCGCACCAACATTAACCACGCATGCGCATTGAGTTGTCAAAGGCGGGTTTCTACCTTGGCGTAGTTTATCATTTTTTAAGCGTTGGCGACTTTCCAAAGTTTAGAAAGGAAAATGGGTTCCTTTTCTTATAAAAAGAAGGAACAGATTTCCTTTTATTAAAGTATATATAAAAAAGGGCAGATTTTTATGTTCGCAATGTTTATCCTTTTCCTGAAAGGTTTGAATAGTTTAAATGACTGATTTGAAGGGGGGGCAAAATCATGTTGACATTTTTTGTACTTCTTAGAATACATTTAGCTTTAAAGATGTGTTTTGCTTAATCAAGCTTTTAATTCATTCCTCTTTGAAAAATTTCGTCCGATAAAAGATACTAAAAATTAGACAGCGGATTTCTGTGTAGAAAATTTAGACATGAAATAAATTAAAAGCGATTATATGAACTATTAAATGAATTATTCTGTATGCCTGCTTATTTTTTTATGGAAATACTTGGCATTTTCAGGACTCAAAAAGTGCTTCAAAGAACTTTGAAATATTAGTACAAACATATTAATCAATTAAATTGAAATAAATAATGGGATGTAATTTAAAAGACAGAAATAATTTAATGTAAGAGATTTAGATTTAAAAATTTGCACACACAAATCAGATTTATTTATCAGATTTTATAAGGTTTTATTTCATAAATAACTTTGATTTTGAAATATGGCATTTGAACCTATAAACTTGTGTGGATACTGAAAAAGTGATGAATACATAAGAATATTATCATTTTCAGTAAGTTTTCTTATTGAATAATAAATTCTGACAGTCCTATGCTGTAAGAATAGGGTCTAAGTTTGCATAAAAATTCCTCTGTTAAATAAAAGAATTTAAGTAATTTCTGTAGCCTTTTTGTCAATACACTAAAGATTTTTTAACTAATTACGCGTCCTCGCTTGCAATTAGAACCATCATTAAATCCCTATTTTATCTAATTATTTCCTGAATATTATCATGTATACAGATTGACTTCGCCTTTGTAACTGATAATTATTACTTGCAAATTATTCTCTTGCTTGTGAACTATTAACAACCCTTTCTATTGCTGAGTTAGGGTTAACAACCTTCGCTCTCACTACCGCCTGCCTTACGGAAATCGGCGTAAAATGCTGGTACCTGGGCTGCTTGTGCGCATGCGCGAACATAGGTGGTGTGAATAGCCTGTTAGCTATTCGCACTGTCGGTGCGATTAGCCACTACGAAAGAGTTTGGAGTCTTCATTTAAATATTTAACAGAAAATCTCTGCAAATAAACTTCAAACACAAGTGTCCGAAAACGAATGGGAGACAGTGTATATGAAAAATAATGTAGCCTTATAATGATCATGTGTTAAACAAAAATTAGAAATAAAAAATTCAGGAAAACTTTATTTTGTTTCTAAATTTTAAGAAACTCGGTAAATAAGTCCAAAAAAGTATTTATTTTGTTATATCCTGACCATACCATTGTTTATATATATACATAAATATATATGTGTGTGTGTGCGTGTAAGATATAATAAAATACGATGGCTATGCATCCGAATAATTGGCAACCTCAAAACTGACTATTTTAAATTTGGTGTTCTCTCCTAAGATCATCTGTTCTTTC